TATCCCTGAAATTTGCCGGCAACGGTGCTCCCAGTATTTCTCTTGAGAACGACTGTCCTCGAGAATCGGAAATGGAAGTTTTGTTGAGCTCACTGGCTTCCGTAAGGCGGAGTAAGCTTAACTGGAACTTCCGAGATTCCAGCGGGTGTCTTTCTGTTCGACCATCCACCATGGCCTGCAATTGACGCAACTGCTCGGCGATCCTCTCCATCTCTCGGTCCCTTGGAGCTCCTTCTCCTCTATAGCTAGATTCGTCATCCTCCGCGTTGTGATGTGCGCCTATCACCATGTTCGGTGCACTAGCCGCATGAGAGATGCTGTTAGTAACCTGCTGCACCGCCTATGCAGCCGCATCCGCCATCATCTGCTGCATTTCCTGCCTAGTCATCACCACTCGCTGACCGGGGAGTTGCTCCTCCACTCTTGGTGCTGTCTCTCCCTGCACCACCACTCCTAACGGCTGTACTCCGGCTAGATCTGGTTGCAACAGCGCTGGAACCGCCACCGCTTACGTCGTACGAACATCCTGCTCATTGCTCGGACCCACGACCCCCACTGGAACCACATATGAAGTCCCCAAACCTTGAGGAGCAGGTGTTGGGGTTATCGGCGTCTGTAAAGGTCTGGAGAAACCCAGAGTAGGGCCTTCTACGAACGGCCTCATCGTCGACCAAGCTTCATCGAACGACGGCTGCAAATTGATTCTGGGAATTCCGTTCGCCATAGACACCAAGCTCGAATAACCTTAGCACACCATTTTTCGAACGAAAGTCTCACAGACGGCGCCAAATGGTAACGTCAAACACTCCGACCGGCTAGAAATCAGCTCGCCTCCTTCCTTCCGCCGGTAGAATGCTGCGTACCTGAAAAGAACTCTCACACCGGGGTTTTCCGGTGAAGAGCCTCCGATGCTTAAGTCAGTGTTTCTTCTACTCAATTCTCAAGAGTAAAAATGGATAAATCTTTCTCAACAAGAAAAGCTCACCTCTATATATATAGAAGTGAGATACCTGACCTAGGAGCTGCCCGAATTTGATGAGCTATCTGCCCAAAAGCTGCCCAGGCCTGCCCGTCCGTACACACACAGTGTGCGTGTCAGAAGCGGTTATCGCCATATGCCAATATATTTGTGCCAGGTGTCCTCTGCACATGGTTATATATTCCCTTGAATATTCCTTTGAAATTCCCTTAAACGCTCACGCGCTTTCTCATGTTTAAGTCAATCCTCAGATTGCTCTCTACCTGGGAAGTGGTCGATCAGCTGAGCCCTTGCTCGATAAGTCGATCTTCGACCAGATCTCTCATGTACTCGAGACCAACGTATATCCCACACCGAGATTCTTCTCACCCCACTCTGGCAGTGTTTGACCACTGCCATTCGGCTCGATATTGTTTGACCAGCGTGGTTTTCTTGGTGTTAGATTCGTGTGACCGGTTTAGTGGACCGGTTTACTCCTTAGGTATATAATATCCCATATCAGGTACGAAGAATCCCAAACGAGTAAATTCTCTATCATATTCATCCATAGTCATGTTATTTTGTTCCAGAGCCAGAAATTGTCTCTCCATCTGAGCCCTATAGTGGGCCGGATAATACTTTTCACGCAGTAGTTCCTTAAATCGAGACTAAGTTAGGCTTGCTTTGTCTCCAGGCCTCATGTCCCAGTATGCTAACCACTAAACGGTAGCATCCCCAGTCATTTGAAACTGAGCACAAGGAATTCGATGTTGTTTCGGGCATCCCATTGCTAGAAGAATCATTTCAAGACTTTGCAACCATTCATCCACTACTCGTGGATCTCCCTGACCATTGAACTTATCAGGCTGGAACCAACGAAATTGAGTGATTATTCGTGATTGATCAAGATCTGCTTCTACTGGCACAGGTGCTTGAACTCTGCGATTCGTCATTTGAATAGCCAATTTGCTATTTCATTAGAAGAATTCAATAGTATAGCTAATATTGCACTAGCTACTCAGTACTTGACCTATTGTTAGGTTTTCATTTAATCGAACAATCTAGAGTTCTCAGGAAATAACGATAATATACTGACTGGTATGAAAACTTACTTTATTTCTTACCTCGAAGTCGGAGCAGCACGAGCGTGGTGTGGTCGTAGCTGTAAGGACATTTCTTATTTAAAAATTTAAGTAGTCAGAGACGCAACTGCGCTCTGATACCAATTGTAACACCTGTTTTTATAACGTTTGAAATCAGAGTAAATTTATCACTTTTCAAAACGTATAATTCGAACAGTAATTAACTTATCTCGGGATGTCCCCTTTTCTTTTTCTGAAAATCGGTTTATTTTAATTTGGCCGAATATGCTGGTTCAAGACTTAAAGAAACTTTATTGTCGAATAATTATTTAAACATTCAATCCAATCACATCTCGGAATAGACTGATATAAGGAAATACTGAAATCATGTATTATTTGACAATATAAAATTTAAAGGTAGCGAAACGTAATCATAGTGCATTCAATATTATTATTTATTACAAAACAAGAAAATAGCCTTTGTTAGCCATCTAGACTTGACCACCACCACTTTCTCTCAGTCTTCTCGCTCGACTCCATTTCCTGAAATATCATATACAATGGGACGTGAGTACATAACCATGATACTCCGTAGAAACCGATAATAACATCAGTAATTATCACAATATCAAGAACTGCCATATATGCATATAACTGAAATAAAACTGGCATATATAAATTTAATTGAATTCTTACTGCTCTCGGACACATTGGCTGGTATCATGTGCACATTTCGATGGGACATAATCATACTAGATTCCCACCGAAACCTGGGTTAAGGACACATTGGCCTTGACACAGGCGACAAATCATACGGACTTAGGTCGTTACCCACTCGTCGGGGGAAAACATTTTATTACGTACATCTCTCGGATGTGGTAACTGAGAATATAACATAAGTAAATCCCAGTACAGGGTTCTTACCTTTTTTGTTGTGTAGTAATAAATGCTGAACTTCTCGAGATACTGAGATTTGACTCCTTAAGCTACATAAAAATTTTATAAAAATATACTAAGTCTTATGCTCGAAAGACTTAATAAATACTGAGATGTTGTTCTATGCTAGACTGGTTATGACTCGATTCAAAACTCATTTTTAATCTGGATTTTAAAGAAATACTCTAGGATTTTTAAAATATTTTATGTCCAGAAATAAAATAACTGGTTTGAACTGAACTGACTTGATTCAGAAAAATACTAAAAATTCCGGTGTAAACTAGTACCGAAAATATTGAACCGAATATCTCAAACCGACCACTTACTGAACCATTTTACTAGCTTGGACCGATGGCTCATCATGAACCGGTCGGTCGTGGGTGACACGAGTGCCTCGACTCGGTCACTAATGAGCCGAGTGCCTTGGCTCGGTCATTCAAGGTGCGGCTGGTTGCTAACACATGCACCAAGACACGAACACTAACCACACGTCTCTCGGGTTCAGGACCGACATTACTAGTACACACATTGGTGCTATCGAGTGCTTCGGGGTTCAGTCGGTTGCCATTGGGTGCTTCCCAACACGCTGACATGAGGGCTGACGTGGTTGAGTGCTACTGGGTGCTGCTGGGCACTACCCGTGGTCATTGGCATACAGGCACGAGTGTTCGTACGGTTAAGGGCTATCGGGCGTCACTGACACTTTGGCACGGTCACTGACCCGGTATAGGCCAAACTCATGATGTCCATTGGACGCTGGCACGAGCTGGCACGGTTAACCTCTGTGTAGAGGCACTCCCCCAATAAGTTAACCTCTGAACGCGGGGAAAGCCAGGCGTTAGCGTACACTAGATGCGTCGAAGCATTCACAGTCGGCTCTTTTTCGGCCGTCCTGCTAGTTTTTCGGTGACTACAGACTAATTCCAATACCTTAAGACATAAGGAGCCCAAAAATGTATAAAAACTCTGGGATGATCCGACTCGATTTTAAAATGGTTCGGGAGACAAAAACGGACTAAATAGGGTTCTAGGTCACTGAATCACTAAACTCTTTTTAGGAAAAGACTCAATGTCGAAAACTTAACATAATAATCATGGTTTTTAGTATTAAGAACTTGGTAAAAACTCGCATGAAATTGTACTTGGCTCGATTGGTCTTAATTAGCCCAAAATTTAATTTCTACTTGATCGAGTAAACAACCTCCAAATAAGCTGAACCTTTACCAACTTATTCCACATGATAAATAATGATTTTAGGAGTACTAAACTCGGCTATGGCATGCATGGAAGCACGACTTTCGAATTTAGGGTTTAATTAATTTAAAAATCGAAAATCTTCATAACTCTCGTGCATGATCCTCTTTCTATACATAGTACTCCTTAGAATATCATGCTTAAGCTAGAAAAGGACTTGGAAAGGTGTTTACCTTCACTTAGTTTGGAAATGAAGAACGAAAGGAGCTCTCGGCCTCTTCTCGGGTTTCTCTCGGCAAAGATGATGTTCCGGTGAGTTCACTTCTGTGACTACTGATTGGAGGCCTCTCTTAAGTTGTTCTTAGATCCTTTGTGAAGTATGACTTGAGAAAATTTGAAGAGAATGGTCGATCACTTGCTGAGGACGTGATGCTCGCGATTTGGCTCGAAGATGGGTCGTCGGAGTTACAGTCGGAATTTGCAGAGTTTTTGATGAAATTTTCTAAGTTTTGGGACATCCTCTACCTATTCCTCAGAGTGGAGTATATAGAATCAAGACAGCCCGTCCAATTGCCTTAAATTATGGAAATTTGGACTTTTCCCCACACCTCATCTTCTCTTCTTGGTTTTTGTGCCAAGGATGGGGATCAGATTTTTGGACTTACACCTGATGATAAAATGGGTAAAAGTCTCCTTTGACTGAGGAATTTGGGCTGAAACTCGTTGGGTCCTGGTCGGGCGTTGGGCCGTGCGCTGGTAGGCTTAGCGATGGGCTGCATCGTGGGTCGCGTGCTGGATTTCTGCAGACTTAGCGCGCCAAAATTGAGCCGATGGTTGAGGCTTGCCAACAAATCTTAAGTTTTGAGCTAAACTTTACACAAGTTGTCGGATTGGGCAAGGTTGCACAAAACTGGGCCGAGGGCAATGCTAGTCGTGACTCGGGCTGCACGCGGTCATTGGGCTGCGTGGTTTCTCAGACCGATTGTGCGGGAGCTGCCATGACTTGGGCTGTGCTGCGGATGCTGGGTCGTGTGGATGTTCTCGGACCGCATAAGGTACTAGTGTACTAAGGCCGCTAATGAGTGTTGGGCCGCGTGGTTGTGCTAACTCAAGCGTTCATCCTTGGCGCGAGTTCGACTCAGCTATGGTCAAGGCTTGATTTTCTATATTTGCTCGAGTGTACTTTAATCCGATCCATGTCATGACTCATTTTAATTTTTCTCGATTTAGGAAAAAAATGAATCATGACTTAAATTATTTATCCTTGGTCTTATGAGAGGAATGAACCGAGATTTTCAACTAAAGTCCTTTCGGCTTTGATATAAACTCTCATTAGAATTTATCTTGGTTTAACCTCGAACTAAAAACGTCAGACTTAAATAAACTACCATGGGAAGTTGAAGTCTAGTACTTATTAGTAAAGATTAGCTTACACTCGAAAATTGATATCAGACTATCATTAATACGATTTAGCTTAATCTCGAAAACTAAAGCGGCTTTGCTTATAAATTATAAACTGGGGTATTACAAGTAAGGCAATAGAGAGATAAAGGAGTAAGTAGCTTGAGATAAGAAGGAACTAGAGGTGCCGGTAGTTCTGGTAAGGAAGTAGAAAGGTTGAGGGCAGAGAGAAAAAAAGGGTGAAATGTACCTGGGGAAGAGCTAGTAGAGGTTCAACTGGTTAAAGGTGTTGAGGGTAGGAAGATTAAAATTAGGGGAAATCTGGTAGAGTCGTTGAAGGATGAGCTCATTAATTTGATCAGGGAGTTTAAAGACGTGTTTGCATTTACCCTAGACATGTGAATGAATGCATGTTGAACATCGATTCTAAAGCTCGACCTGTTAAGCAGAAGATGAGACACCGTGGAGCTGAGATGAATAAGGTTATCAAGCAAGAGGTCGATAAGCTGTTGAAGGTGGACACTTAATTAAGATACAATTCCTAGAGTGGATTTTAAATTCGATAATGGTAACTAAAGGAGAGAGCAAAAGGAGGATATTTATTGACTTTAGAGACCTGAATAAGGCATGTCCGAAAGACCACCACCTCTCTCTTCAAGATCGAGTAGTTGATCGACTCTATGACAAGATGTGAGCTCCTTAGCTTGATGGACGTGTCATAAGGTTATCACTAGATTCCGTTGACCAAGTATGACAGAAAAAGGGTCAATTTTGTGACAAGTAAGGGGATCTATTTCTACATGCTCATTTCCTTCGAGCTGAAGAATGAGAGGCCACATACTAGAAGTTAGTCGACAAAATATTCAAAGAGCAGCTTTTTCGGAATATGGAGGTGTATGTTGATGATAAGCTGGTGAAAAGAAAAGTCGAGTTCGATCATGTGGCAGAACTCGGGAAGATCTTTGGGACCTTACGAAAATTTGGGAAAAAGTTAAACACGATCAAACGTGTGTTCAGAGTAAAGTCTGAAAAAGTTATTGGTTATATGGTCACCAAGAGGACGATTGAGGCCAAGCCTAAGAAGGTGCGAGCTATGCTGTAGATGCGACCCCCTAAAAACATAAAGGAGGTCCAGGTGCTAACTGGGAGGATCATGGGGTTTAGCAGGTTTATCTCGAAGGTTGTTGAAAGGAATAACTAGCCCACTTTTCAAGATTTTAAAGAAGAGTGTCATGTTTACATGGACGAATGAGGCATATACTGCTTTAGAGGAGTTGAAGGTCGTACTCACCAACCTACCATTGTTGGTGTAGCCAGTTTAAGGAGAGAGTTTGGTGTTGTACATTTCGTTTGGACACATTGCAGTAAGTTCGGTGCTTCTAAGAGAGGAAAAGAGCATGCATATATCTATTTATTACGTGAGCTGAGCGATGAAAGGATGGCAGGTGTTTGTGGATGGATAGATTTCTAAAGGAGGTGCATGCTTGGGTATTGTCTTGATTTCTCATGTGGAAGACACCATAGAATTCACGACCAAGTTAGGGTTTTGAGTTTGTAATAACGAGGCAGAATATGAAGTTTTATTGAAAGGCTTGCAGTTGGCAGTGGCTAAAGAAGCTCGACTTCATTCGAAGTTGTAACTTGTTGTCGGATAGCTCCAAAGATAAAGGAGAAGAGGCTATAAAAGTATGTTCAAGATTTGACTAAGGGCTTTAACTCTTTCGAGCTAGTACAAATACAAAAGAATGCTCGAGCTGATTTGCTATCAAGATAGCTCAAAATTTTATGAACTGCAAGAGTAGGAATGTAACATTGTTGCACATGGAGAAAAGTGTCATCGAGGTCGCAGAGGTTTGTGAGGCCAAAGACTGATGAGCTCTTATACTAAAGGAGCTCAAGAAAGAAAACATTAAGCATGTTAAATGATGTTTTGAGCAAAACGAAATCTTGTTCAAGAGGTCGTACACAGAGAAACACTTGCAATGCTTTACCAAGGTAGATGGTCAGTACGTGCTTAAGGAGATGCATGAAGGATATTACAGCGACCATAATAAAGCTAGGTCACTGATTCCAGAAGTACTGAGAATAAGTTATTTTTTTTTTTTTTTTTTTTTTTTTTGTTTTTGCCAAAATGCGAGCTGATGCTGTGAAGATGGTCAAGTAATGCATTCAATGTTTGAAGCATGACCCTATTTTACATCAGCTAACCGAGGACATGATGTCAATGAGCGCACTGATTCCCTTCTCACAATGGCGATTCGACCTAGTTTGGCCACTACTTCAGTGGTCGGGGCAAAGGAAATTCTTGATTGTTGCAGTGAACTGTTTCACTAACTGGGTGGAGACCAGCCTGTAGCTGTGATAAGAGAGAACAAAGTTATACATTTTGTGTACAACAACATTTGTTGTAGGTTTAGAATTCCCAAGATACTGGTCTCAGATAATGGAACTAAATTTAATGGTTGGAGAATAAGTGTTTGGTGCGAAGATATGCAAATCGACGTAGATTTTGCTTTAGTAGCTCACCTGTAAGCTAACGGGAAAGTGGAGGTCAAAAAAGGATGATTGTGAGTGGCCTGAAGACAAGGTTGAAATGGACCTCAGGTCACAAAAAGGATGATTCTGACGACCCTAAGGTCTATCACAAGAGAGACCCCCTTTAGCCTCATTTACAGAATAGAGGCACTAATATCAGTCGAGGCCGAATTGAGCTCTCAAAGGGCGCTAACTTTTGGGAAGGAGAAGAATGACGAGTTAGCTTGAGCAGCTCTAGATATGGTCGACACTCTAAGAGAGTAAGCAGCCATTCGGGTGGCGACGTACAAGCAAAGGATGTGGATCGCTCATGACAAGAAGGTAAAAGTTCGGAGGTTCCAGGTTGAGGACCTTGTCTGGAAAGGTTTGATGTTCTAAAGTACGTCGGCAAGCTCGAGCCAAATTGGGAGGGTCCATATATGGTTAGATCGAATGCACGCAAGGGGAGCATACAAGTTAGGAGACCAATGGAGGTTATTGTCCAGATCATGGAATATGAGGAACCTGAAATAATATTATGCTTAAATTTTTGGTTTATGTAAACATTATGTCTTTCATGGTTAATGAAGATTGTCATCCCTATAATATTTATTACTTTTGCAAGTAGGTTGACCTCAGTGGCAGGACGACCTCATTACAAAATGAAGTTCAAGCAAAAATATGACATGATTAAGGTTTTTGAGTGATCATTTGCTTGTTTGAACGACCTCAGAGGCACGTCCACCAAGTGTTGGAGCCTTGTTGACGAAACCTCGGCATGAATAAGGCTTTCAAGATGGTCAGACTCTTGTTTGGACGATCTCAGTGACAGGTCGGACAAGTGTTGGACCTTGATAGCAAAAACCTGGCATAATTAAGGCTTTCGAGTTGACCGGTCTCTTATTTGAATGACCTCAGAGGCAGGTCGGGAAAGTGTTGGAGCCTTGTTGGCAAATATCTGGCATGACTATGGCTTGCAAATTGGCCGATCGCTTGTTTGAACAAACCCTAGAGGTAGGTCGAGAAAGTATTGGAGCCTTAATGGCAAAACTCGACATGACTAATGCTTTCGAGCTAGCCGTTTGCTTGTTTGAACGACCTCAGGGGTAGGTCGGGTAAGTGTTAGAGCCTTGATGGCAAAAACCTGGAATGCTTAAAGCTTTCAAGCTGGCCAAATGCTGTATTGAACGACCTCAGATGGAGGTCAAGTTATTTTAAGTATGGTTACATTTTGATTTGTGAAAAATGTTAATTATGGAAATTATGCTCATTGGGAACCTCAGTGGCAGGTAAAGGTTATGAAGATAAGAGTTCTATTGTATCAAGTTATAAAAGATACAAAGTGACACCAAGAGAAGGAAATAACATAAGCATAAACAAACGAAAATTGAATTTCATTGCGACCAAACTACATACAAATTTTTTATTACATTATACAATTATAACAACCTAAAACAGACTACTTGGAAGGAACTGACTCCTCAGTGGTTGCAGGGGCTAGATTTGCTACCTTAGAAGGTTACTCGAGAAGAGGTAGGTCAGGTAAGTGCTAAGTGGTCGCTTGTTTAAACGACCTCAGAGGTAGGTCAAGCATGTGCTAGAGCCTAGTTAACAATTGCATTTTAATTTACCAAATGCAAATCAAAGAATTTTCAAAGGCCTCGATAGTAGGTCGATTGAATTGAATATTTTATATGTCAAAGATGTCAATTTTCAATGTTTTCTCAGTATAGGTTGGACTTTAATAAACTTCAAAGGCAGGTTGATGGAGTTATGATAAAGCTTTGATGACATATGCATTTTCATCCATCAATTTACGCATTAAATTTCTTAGACCTCAGAGATATGTCTGGTCAAAAAAGCTGTACCAGGGTTAATAGTGTTTTAAACAGAGAAAATTTTCTAGAAGGCAGGTCAAGTTATTTTGGTTTGCAAAAAAATATAAGTGTTGAAATTTGTTTTTGCCAGAAATGATAGATGGAAATGGTGGCGATAAAAGTTTAGTCATATCCAGTAAGGAAAATTCAAACCGACCTCAAGANAAACAACATTAATAGATCCGGATGCGACCTCCCCAAGTGCTGGATCGTAGAATGGGCAGCTTCACGAGCTCCTTCCTGGGGACCATCCATAACCTTGTCGACGGGAGCGACCTTGGTGGCAAGATCTTCCTCGGGAGGAATTTGGAATAAAGGCTCGACCTGGAGCTGACGAGCCGGGAGGATAAGCTTCTTCTTCAAGTGACCCCCTAAGAAGAGTCTTCTTTTGGAGGCCCTCCCACCACTTGTGGTTGAGCGAAAGGCTAATTTTGCCTTCATAACCCTCAGGATAGTCGGGGACCTTCTGCATGATAACATCCCAGTCGAGAGTCCCTGAAAAGCCCCAAGCTTTGATCTTCTCCTTAGCTTGGTCCAAAGAAAAAGTAAATAATTGGTAGGTAGATGGACCAAGCTATTGTAGGAAGCTCGAGGACTTGCAGACATCCTGAACGACCTGCTTTCGATGGGCCTCAATGAAAGTCCTCTCCATCTGGAATGTGAGGAAGTACTGACAGCCTATCGCCTGCCCTACATTGCTGGCTACATGCACATCCTCTTCATTTTTCTTCATGAGCTCTTAGAGAGTAGCATCATGGTCCTGGGAGACCCGACCAAGCTCTTTTTTCAGGTTAAAATTATTCTTATTCAATTGTTCGTTTTTAGCCTTCATGCTCTTGAGGTTGGCATGGAGATCAGCATGAGAAGATGAGGAGGGAGAGTGTTGTACTTGTTCGTTGAGGAGAGAAACCAGTGCAGACAGGAGATGCAAAGCAAATACAGTAAGAATATATTCTTGGATAAATTACAAGTGACTAAGAAGATATACCTAGGCAACAGACTTAGTCGCGTTCTGTAGTCCCCATTAGATTAATAAGAGATAAGCTTGTTTTGTTCTTAAGTTCATTGCATTGCATATCATTTTATTTTGTTAATTTTGTCTAAGTCTAATAAGTTTATTAAGATTATTTAGATGTCTCCATCTATTTAATCCAATAAGTTAAATGATATGTGCAGATGTCCTCGTCTACTTAATTATCCCAAGTTTTAGTATTTCCCTTGTTAAGAAAAAATCGTACAAATCTTAAGTTTAAGTGCAAGCCATTTTTGTGAGCCATTGTTTCTATTTTTTCCCAAGCAAGACCAATTATTTTTTGGCCTTTTTACTCAAGAGAACTCGGCCCTTTTGTGCATAAAAAAGAGTGACCCTTTAAGGCCTCAAAAAGCTGCCTCTGCTAATGGTTTTTCACTCCAAGATTTATTCAAAATTCAAGCACCTCGTGGCCTTGTTTGGTAAGCTTGTAATCCCCCTCATAAATTGATTTTTTTCCTTCTTTGGAGCCCAAGAAGCCACCCCAATCAGCCTCCATAAGGCAAGTTTTGAAGATCTTTTCCCCTCATTATTCCTCCCCTCCTCCAAGACACGCCTTTTGATAAAAAAACACAATCTTTTCAGCCCTCTAATAGCATCAAGAAGAGTCCTCCTAAAATCACTCATAAACTTTAAAAAATCTCTCAAAATACCCTAAAAAACCCTCTCAAATCCTCCACGCCACCGACATTCTCGAGCAGCCCCGAGCTACCTTGCTGAGAGACACTAGTGCACCGAAGCCATGCTGTGAAACCGTATCCATGAATATTCATCGTGCCGAGGAGACGTGAGTTGTCGAGTTCAATCGGGAGCCTCTTTCCATGGTGGATCGTGTGAGCCCGAGAGCACATACCCGAGATTCGGCAACCAAGGGCGAGAGAAGCCAGGGAGTAGCTGAGACAAGGAGGCCACTAGGACGAGTGGCCGAGGAGACCTGAGTACAGGTAGCCAAGATCCGCGTCCGCAAGCATGAGAGATCCGGGCCTTCACCATCAGATCCATTTCTCCCTTTCTCTTGGAACCAAAAATAAAGGTAATTAATCCAAATATCCCCCTTAATTTGTTTAACAAGAAATTGAGAAAGAGAATGCTTAAGGTTTGTGAAAAATATGAAATTTAGGACTCTCTTTCTTACCTTGAATGTGTGTCCTTGAACCATGAGTTTTGATACATTTCATTGATAAAAAATAAGCCATTTATGCCATGATGTGTTATCCTGAGAAGCCTTGATATTGGTTGAAAATTTATTGATTTGGTAAGCCTTGAATAAAAATCCATGCCTTGGTCGAACTCGTACCCTTCGGGTCGCAGCCTCGGGAACAGACCCCCTCGTGTCGCATAGTGCCACGGGGCTGCTGGCAGGTACTGGGGGTCTGACCCCGAGCATGACTGCAGTATGTCGTGGTACAGTGATGCGGATATGGCAAGGCAACTCAAGAACGCTTCGAGCCGCGCATACCATGCACGCAGGAGGCTAGCACGACGCACGGGTGAGACGCAGGCCATTGAGGGTGACGCGTGCGGGGAACGCAAAACTAGCAAGCAAGTACCGCTGGGCGATGGCGCGCGGGCGAAATGAGCAGGCGACGGGGGTTGACGCGCGCGACAAGCACATTTGGCAGAAGCATGAAGGATGCGGCAGGTGCCGAGGACGTAGCAGGTGCCAGGGACGCACGCGAAGAAATCGCGGCGGACGCGGGCGTGCGCGAGGCACGTAGCGGGTGTGCACGCGCGAGAGCGGGCGGTGCAACCTTAGTCCTCGGGGACTAAGGCAAGGCGCGCGCGGGCGGTGGGGGTCCGAGGCGGCGTGAAGGGCGGCTAGGGTTCCCTACTTGGAGTGCAAACAAGATCACCTAGGATTCTTTAGATATTTAGTTTTCTTCTTTTCATAAGATTTCTAGATTGCTTAGGGTACTAAATATTCTATTGCTTTATTAGAGTTATAGTTAGATAAGGACTAGATCTATTCGATGCCTATATAATGACCCTTCTTCTTGTTATTTTTATACATTGAAAATCATAATAAAAAAACCCGAACTTTTGTTCAAACACTTTTCCTTAGATTTCTTCTTGATTTCTTTTGCAATTATATTCCGTTTCGAGGGGCGCGGGTGTGTGAAACTCCGAGACAACTATCGTCGGTTCAAGGCACGAGTGGTGTGGCTTATCGGCAATGGGGACACACGATAATTATCATTGGTGCTTTCATTGAGAGTATCTAGATCGTGTGTCTTTCCCTTTCCCATTCTTTTTCTTTCCCATCTTTTTATTTTCGTTCAAAAAAAAAAATCTTCAAGACGAGTCCTCGAAGCAAGGAGCGAAAGCAAGAAAAGAAATCCATGGCCAACAAGGAGATGAAGGACAAGATCGATAATCTAGACGTTCAAGTCCGAAGCATGAGCGAAGCCATGGATACCCTAGGCGAGGGGCTCGACACAACCAAGGCATCGGTTCGTGATTTGATGGAGAGCATGAACCAAAGGTTCGATGAGATGGCTAGCAATTTCTAACATCATGCGCGACCACCACCGCGGCAACTGGGCGTGAGCGGCCCGAGGAGCAAGAGCAGCGGCGCGCCGAGCATGAGCAAGAGGAGGACTTCGAGCAGCGGTCACAAGCGTCCAACATCTACGATCGCCCAAGGCTCGACAAACCAAGGCTCACGCTATCACCTTCACTGATACCGACCCCGAGGCATGGCTCAACCGGGCCGTGCAATATTTTGAGCTCAACAAAACCGAGGGGAATGACAGTGTGCGATACGCGGCCTACTACCTGGACGGTGAAGCCAACGTGTGGTTGCAATGGCTCACGAGTGTTTACCGCAACCGGCAGTGAGTCATCGGGTGAGAAGAATTCGAACGCGAGTTACTCATGCGTTTCGGGACATCTGATTACTACAACTATAATGAAGCACTCTCTCGCATACGACAGACAGGCAGCTTGCGCGACTACCTAAAGGAGTTTGAAAGATTAGCATGTCGCGTACGGGGCTGGCCCAAGACCGCACTAGTCGGGGCATTCATTGGCAACCTCAAATTTGAATTAGCCACATAAGTTCGCTTGGAGCGGCCTGAATCGATGCATGCGGCCATGGAGGTTGCTCGACACCGACCTCGCTGCCACTCGAAGGGGACGGGCGGACGCGCGCTTTCCGAAGCCGCGACGCACGACAACACCATACCGAGCATCTAACCACCGAA